ACATTCATTAGCCATTTGCTTATCAGCTAAACTGTAAAATAATTGTTGGCAACAGAGTTTAACTGCAAACACCATTTACTTGGAGGAAACCAGAAACTGATGTAGTAACACATTTATTGATTACTTTGCCAATTAAACATACAAATTTTTACAGTCAACAGCAGTACCATACTTTATGAGAAGCTATGCTTTAAAAAATGGTGTTTACAATACAGATTTCACTATAGCTTTTCAAGCCAAGCTTTTACAGTGCTATTCAAATAACTGCTGTACTTTAACTTTTTCCTTTAAACTTTGACAATAACATAGTAGACAAAGTACCTTTTCCATTGTTATTTTTTTTTTAGAATTTAACACAACTTTGAAAAGTTTAAAACGTCCAGAACATTGCCATTAACACTCATACTGATAATGTGATACATTTAATACTTTTTAGCATTAATAGTGTAAAAATATATTGCATATATATATATATATATATAAAAATTTGTTTCCCTTTCCTCAAAAACAAAACAAAAAACTAGTACAGGCTAGTAGTATATGATCTCCTTTCAAGTTTCTTTTATTTATTTTAAAGATTGTATAGTAGTAGTTTTAAATTAACAGAAACAAAGGTATGGAAATGGAGAATCAATGTTGTGCTCCCCCCATAACTTCTTGTCATGTTTACAAGGCCTATTAACCCCTTCAGAATGGTGACTCCCTTTTTGCTAATGCCAGTTAGAATTCCAGCAGTGACTGCAGTGGGGATAAAATTTTACCCAGTGTTCTTTACACTGGACAGTGCCTGGACCCTGCTCCAGCAGGGAGATTGGACTAGATGACCTTTCAAGGTTCCTTCCAATCCCTAATTCTGTAATTCTGTGACCCCTTCATCAAGTGGTTAAAAATATTTGCTTAGCATATGTTGACCTATTACAGTTAAGATTAAGAAATTCTATGCTGAAGTTGTCCATTTGTGATAATGAAAAAAGGTTCAGTGATAAATTAGTAAGAAAAAAGTAAACTTGTAAGGTTAAATGATCTTGTAAAGTTTTAATTGTGTTAAAATTTCACAGTATGCTAGTACAGCTGAACATTAATGTTTTCAATGTTGACAGTTATAAATATTGCAGGTAACTATTAGCACACAGCAGCTTCCTGTTTTTTGGGGCCCAAGATGAAAGACAAATCAAAATAAGCAAGAAATAGTAAAATTCACTGAAGGTTTTTATCATGCTGGATAGTGCTCCAAGGAAGACTATGTCAAGATCCACCTTCATATCAACTATTTAACAGTTAGATTTTTTAGTGATCTAGGTAATCAAAGACAAAACAGTTTCTTTCACCTCTCCACTTTATGATCAGGTCCTGACAGCATGCACACCCACATTTGTCCAAATAAAGAATCAAACTGTCTAAAGCAAAAAAAGAAATGTATGTTGGAACACATAGAGATAAACAATCTAGCAAAGGAATAAAGCATGATGTGCATAAATAAATGGTTCATGGCTGAAGAAAACCAACTTTGAAGATTCAAAAATTATACTTCTGTATAAATAAATTTCTCCTCCAACATTTAAATCTGATGTATAAAACCTTGCAAAGAATAAACATCAATATACTTACGCAACATCAACTATTTCTCTGATTTACAGAATATAAAGACAATTACTTTGTATTATAAGCATTATACAGACATCTGTACTGCAATAGTTTGCCAAAGCTGATAATTCTAAGCCCAGCACAAAGACAAATACACTAATTGCATCCGGTAACTTGTTTTTGTTGATGACCTGGCCATTTCATGCAATATAGTACTAACAAAAGTAGTTTGCCAACAGATTTTTATAGTTTGTACGTTAACTGTCCTTTCACAAAGCCTTTGTAAAGAAGTAGTGTGTATTTAGCATGAATATTACTGATACACGGCATTTTACTGTTGCATTAACGTAACTCAACAGACCACAGGCTGCATTGTTTCATTGCTTTGTTTAAAAATAACATTTGAGCAAATGCAACCATGCAGAAACTCATCTGATGTAAACTGGAGCTTAAAACGATTCACGATTGTTGGGATGCAGATTGTCATTCTTCCTTTATTCTTCTTTGTGTTGATCAACAACAACATAGCTTCTGATTAAAATGTAAAGATGGATGAAGCATATGGGTATATTTTTAAGACTATATTTTTAATTAACTTGGATGTGACTTTATTCAAGTTTGTGACCTGTACTGAAAAATGTGTAAAGTCATAGAAAAATATTGCATAAAGATATTTGAAGGTAAGGGCAAACTACCTTTAGTGAAGGTTATCTTGCAGGCCTCTAAAATTGCTTACAACAAAAAAACACTTTGTTCAAGTGTCAGAAACTTTACTCACAAAAGAGAAGCTTTATAAATATATTTGAAAATTAATTAATTGTATCGTTACCTGCAATGGAATGTGGTAGGTGTTTAATACTTTTCCAGATCAGGTCAGGTTTGCGCATGGGGCACTTCAATGTCAATTTGCAAATGTAAAGTATAGAAGAATCTCAAACCAACAAAACAAAAAATCTCTTCTGTAGTCTCACATGCCTCAAAGTAGTGGACATTTGCACACGCATGATTACAAAGGAGATTTTTTTTTTTTAAAGTCATTTCAGACAATCAGTATTGTAAATCTCTTTCAAGAATACTCAGCAAATACACCGTGTTGGTTTGTGTTTTTTTTTTTTTCCTTTTGTTTATTATCAGGTTTGCTCTTGCCAAAGTCTACCTACAGTGGGTGATCAATTAGATCAGTTAGTTTGAATGAAACAACTAAATTTAAATGTTTTCTGAGAAATATAAGAAAACAGCTATATCTTAAAACTTGTGAAATCCACCATCTCTATACAGATTTTGAAACAATATAGCTCAGGTAATATACTGAAAAACATTAAATAAATAGTACTAAAAAAAAAAAAAAAGCATATAACAATTATTTGTATGTGGAAAAACAAATTGCTCAGACAGTTAAGATTTGGAGCATCTACCTGCAATATTCTTTAGTCTCCTGAGGCACCATTCTTAGTTGAGACAAAGCACTGTTTTTGAGTTTAATGAGCAAGCAGGAATGCAACTAAAGGTCTCTCACTAGTTTTAGGACTCTGAACACTTAAAAGGAATAGCTCAGTCCTTCATTTCCAGCTTATATCTGGTAGCTAGATGGGCACTTGGGTGCACAAAATTAATAACTTAATGTCTAAATGTTATTTTATGGGCAAAACTCCAAATATAGGAGGTACACATGTATCAAGTTGATGCACTCCAAACTGAGAATTTCACACAAGTTTGAGATTTTGTCATTATGCTTCAGGTATTTCATTTTGTAAAAGTTCACAGGCATTGTAAGACAGTCTCCTGTTCCCTGTTCTTGCCCCCACTATACCATGATTTTGTGCTTACCTGACTAATGAAGAACTGCGTGCATACATTGTAAGTGTCAACTTGCTTCACAAAGTTGGGGCAAAATAAAATACAGGGCCCACACAGGGCATAATTTTAAATTATCTCCTGGGAGCACTCAGAGAAACTGTTGACTCTTTCTTTTCTACTTGCTCACTAAGGAGGAACTCTTTTTGCCATTATAAATCCATGCTTGAATCACTGGAGAGTGTTTTCCTCCAGAAATAGGAACAGAATAGACATATGTGTCAAAACATGAAAATTCTAGATCTCTACTCTTGTACTATGGAGGTAGAATGGCAGCATTACCAACTACTGGCCATGCTGAATAGCTCAGGCTGCAGGACTAGAGCTTTGCCTTTTAAGATTTAAGGTTTAAGCCAGCACTTACATGGTTTAATTACTTAGCTGGATTCAAAAATTATGTGCACACACACACACAAACCAGCACAAGTCCTATGTATTACATTACCAACTACCAACTAACAGACAGAACATAATATTCACAGTACAAAAAATATACACAAAGGTGCAATCATTTTAGCACACACACAAGGCCAACAGTCAGAGTTTAAAGGATATGTACTAGTGCAACACATTACATTTTATCATGAAAGTAAATGGTTTGTTACTTGGTGAGTGCAAACATAATTCTTATGGATGACAAACACATGCCCCCAATATACATGCATTACTGTAAGGTAAGGTTATATTTTGAACAGCTGATAATTATCATACAAGCAGGCACAAAGAAAGTTTATTTTAACTGACATCACTTAAAAAAATAACACAATTACAGTTACTTTAAAGTTTTGGTTTTGGAGAAGGAAACACAAGCACTTTCTCTCTATACCTCCCACTTGCAAATCCATAGTAGTCATTTACCGTTTAGTTCTGGCTTACCAACAAATTCCATCTGCCATGAAAATTATATTAACTCAGCCAACAGAGGAAAAACATGACTGAAATGGTAACCCATGAATTCTATAATTTCAAAAAGTTGCCAGAGGAATTTTTAATTCAGGTAAAGTCAGTAAAATACAGGGGAAATATCACATTTTAATCCAAAGTATCTTTGAAGGAGAGTCTCTATAGTGATGAAAAACACAAAGTGTGACATATGAGTAGGTTGGAAATTTCCCTCTCCTTTCCCTAAAGTAAAAAAGATACTCGTGTCATTGGTAAGAAATACGGTGTGTTTTTAAAAACGTAACACACATACACACACATGCAAAAACACAAACAGGCCAGACATTGTCCATTGTCCAATGTTCAGCTTTTCTTTTGGTCTTCCAAATACTTTATTACAACTAGTCACAACTGTTCATATAGGACTGTTGAAAAAGATATATTATTTAATGTCTGTTATTCAGTAACACTATTGTGATAGCTTTGATAGCCACGAAGAGCAGGACAATATTTTTTCCTGAAATTTCCATATAGATATGATTGTTGGAAAACTCTCAACAAGTAACTAAAGCACAGAGAGTAATAAATTTATTAAACAAGCACTGATAATAAACCTCATTTTTCTTCTGCACATTTTGAATTATATATATATATTTAATAAGATTATTCTTCTGCCTTAGGATTTTTGTTTCTTGTCCTCAATCTTGCAAAGGTTCGACAGTCAGACTGGAGATGCAGGTAAGACTGGGTACTGTCATAGTATTTAAGGGTTTAATTTTAAATGAACAGTGAAAAGAACAAATTGGAGTTTGTTCTTATAGGTAATTATTGCTAAAAGCTACATGAACTTTCTGATCACATTTACCTCAACAGTATGTTCACTGAAAGCAAAGGTAATTAGGAATAATAGGTTTTTATAGACAAGAGCATTGCAGATGAGAAATCAGACTGGAAAGTCTGATGGAATGAGTTTAGATGGCCAAAAACCAGAGATGAGTATAAACCTTATTGGGTACACACCATGTCCTCACTTCAGGCATGCCATTTATGTAGAGTAGTGGTATACACGATGAGTATATATCCTCTACGCCACCTCCCAAGATATCCCTTTCCATCATCTCTGAGTTACAAGCTGTACTTGATTTCCTGAGAACAGCAGGTGAACAAACAACAGAAGTGGTTACACCACTTTGCCTCATTCCCAAACAGGCCTGAACTTTTAGAAATATGGTTAACAAGCTAGTATTTAATTAATTAATTAACATTATGGTTAACAAGCTAGTATTTAGGCTTTTAATTTCCCACAGAAATGAGTGAGAAAGTAAGAGCTTCAGTAAGTGGCTGAACCACTGATACAAAAATGTATGTGGTGCTTTTGTTCATAACTTCTATCTTCCATGTCTTCCATATCAAGTGTAGTAAAAGGGAAAAATCCTTCCGAAGTATTACCTTTCCAGCCACAACTTCCATTTTTCACTGTCATATCAGAATGATTTCTTTTCATGCATTTGTATGATTGTGTTTTTAAACTATCCAACTGCAAAGCAGAAGAAGAAACAAAGAATGTTCCTCAAAATAAAATATTGCTATCTAAAGCATCTTTTCAGGCCCTGATCCAAAGTTTACTATGTCACTGAACATTTTATACAACTTTGAATCAGGTCTGTACAAAGTGCTTTAGTTCTGGCACAGGTTTCATACTGTAATGCAAAGTTGGTGTAGTTTCTTCTTCACCATTTCTTGTCAGTGTCAGCCTGGATCTGTCCCCATTCACAATTATTTTGCATGCCTTCTGGCTTATGAGTGTGCTGATCTCTCTCATGCTGTGGACTAGCAACTTAAAACTTAATATGACCTTAAAAACTTCCTAACCAAACATTACTCCATTATACCATTACTCTATTATATCATTACTTGCACTCAGTATTTGCATACTTCAGAAAGCCTTCACTTGGTAACTTTAGGTTAGGCATCACCTAGTATGCCAGACAAGACCACTAGCTAGCAACAAATGGCAAGATTAACAAAGTGTTGGAAGGGCTCTACAATAGACTGAACTTTCGTTCATCTTTTCATTAGACTGGACTTTCATTTTACCTTTCATTCAGGCAGGGTCCAGATCTTTTCAGCTACCAGTGAGCTATCAGACAAGTCTTAAAGTCAATGAGAAGAACAGGGACATTAATCTTGCCTTTAACTTAGCTAAGGATTTGTCAAGGGAGGCTTAGCCATTTTGTTTATAAGGAGAATAAAATAAAATAAAATAAAATAAAATAAAATAAAATAAAATAAAATAAAATAAAATAAAATAAAATAAAATAAAATAAAATAAAATAAAATAAAATAAAATAAAATAAATAAAATAAAATAAAATAAATAAAATAAATAAAATAAAATAAAATAAAATAAAATAAAATAAAATAAAATAAAATAAAATAATAAAATAACAAAATAAAAAATACTAACCTTCAGGTGCACAGGCACCAGTGATATATCATAAAGAAGAGGGTTCTCTGCAGTTAGCCAGTTTACTGCCATGCTGGAATAATTTAGCCATTGCTTGTATCACAGTATGCTACTTGCTGCCTCAGTGTGACAGGTCACCAATGCAAGAAAGGATTGTATAATCCTTCATTCCCTGTAAATTTGTCTTCAAGAACAAAGAGTAAATCTTGGAAAGACTCACACAAAGGTGAAGGCTTCTCAACCTGAGCATCCCTGGATATATCAAAAGTCTTCCCAGATAACCAGAGCTAATCACAGCAAAAAGATACTTAAAACCTGACAAGAACATGTACTAAGTTTTAGTAAACTTCTCTCCCTCCTCAAAATAAAAACCAATACAAGTTATAAACAAACAAATAAAAATCTTCAAATCTATGATGAACTCCTTGCCTTTATGTGTTATTGTTGTGGTTTCAGGCTGATGTATGGGCTTAAAGGGTCATTTGAGGCAAAGTTACAAGAAAGGCCATTCAGTGTCAGAAAAGGAAAACACAAAATGTGAAAGGACTGAAAACCAGCTCTCTGTTTTTGGACATGGGCCAAATACAGACTGTTAGCCCGCATGGCATGTGACAGACCATGAAGCTCACTGAATTTTATGTACTCTGAGTGGGATGCTGATGCTGATAATGCTAGGAAGAAAACAGTGAAGTTATTAACCTTTATCCACAGACAAACATTAAAATGAGTGCTTGAGCTTTTTTAAAAAGAAAGCAAAGCAAAGCAGTTAGGAGCTGCATTTAAACACTCAAAAAATTGTCTTTCATAATTTTATAGGACCAGAGTAATACATTAGAGTACTTCTTCAGCTCTTGTGGAAAAGTGGACCAGCCTTTTCTCTCCCTTTTAACCAGTGCATGTATGTGTGTATGTATACATATATATATTACAAAATAAAATAAAATAAAATAAAAATAAAAATAAAAAAGAGTGACTTTTATTCTTATTAACCTGTTTGGGCGATCTGGGCCACAGGCAGGTCACATTCAGCTGCCTGTACCTTAAACATGTGGAATTGGTTCTTCTATAGCAACAGAAAGCCATTCCCATCAATAAAATTACTCCCAAATAAGGCGGCACAACTAAACAGAGAATCAAGTCCTTTGGCTTCAAACAAAACTAACAGAACATGTAGCACAAGTATAATAGTATATTCTTCTGTGCAAGTTGCAATTAGTTACATGAATATTAATATTAAATGTCCTTAATAAAGGGGGTCATAACCTTCCTTACATATGTTATAGCTTAAATGGGATATGTGCATAATAACATTCACTTATTAGCGCTGATTTGCAAGGTTTAGTCAAAATCAATATTTTAAAGCATTATTATTTTAATGCCCCCTTCATTTCAAATGTGAGGGAGTACAAACTTGAAAATGGACTACAAAAAGCTTTAGTAGACTTTCTTAGTAACGTCTTGTTCCTCACCTCTCAGGTTAGTAAATTAGCTTCATACAAATCAGCTAGGCATACCATGCTACACAGTACACACAATAACAAAGCAAAAAGTATAGACAGGAGGAAAGTAAGGGGTTGGTATTCTCCACCTTTTTCTGCTGACATAAATATGTTAGAACTTGTATTGTCCCAGAGTAGATCTTTTTTCTTAATTTAATTTTTCATAAATGTTGTGTGAAATTTACATGGTAGCACCCTGTATATTACAACTAATTATTCCGCAGTAATACACTGCTGAATCTTTTAAGGAAAGTTCCAGATTGCACATAAGACATTTTTGAAAAAGCCCACAAACAGTAGTCAAATCAATCTGCATAAATAATGGGATATTTTTCAGAAATGCTGCTATGAAAGAGCCTCTTTTCAGGAGGTTTTCTTCTACATCCTCAGGACATTTAGGAATGTTTGAAATTTTTTGCTCAAATTGACGAAGAGTAATATAACAGCTCTTGACTTTTTTTGTCTAAAGCGCTGAACATAATGATGTCTTTTTTTTTAACTGATACAGTTATTTTTGCCAATGTGTGCATGAGGAATGTAATGAAGTGGCATTGTGCTGCAAGTAGCTCATCAGATGTTGAAATCAGTTCCAGTTCCTGAAAACTTCTTGACAACATAGCCTCAGCATTCACAACAACTGAAACATAGGACTCATCTATGTCATTCTTAAAAATATATTCTCTTTCCCCCTCTCTTTCTCCATCTGTGTTGTAAACCCTCAGTCTTACTTGCTTCCTTGTACTTTATGATCATATGTGCCTGCATGCTTATAGCCAGATACATATCCTGAAGCATCCACCAGATCTTCTCGGCCAGCTCTGCCTTTTCCTTTCCCACTGGGATCAAACCTCTCTTTGTGAGAACCCGTGAATTTTGATGTATCTGTAAGGCGTGATACAGTTGGAGATGAAATGGCTTTCTATTGGAAGAAAGAAAAGACATACAAAAACACACATCAGAAATGTTACTTTCAGTACAGGCATTGTACATGGTACTGATGCTAATGATGGATACTATGTAAATATCTACTCGCTTTCAGCAAAAGGAAAAATTTGTTCTTTGCCATTACATAGAATTACAATAATAATATAGCCAAGAATAAAAAAGTGCAACTTATATCAAAAGTTTTTCAAGAGACTTTCAATATGAGATACTTTTGATTAACAATCAAGTTTTAAACACCAAAGACAGGAATTGCCATGTTCAAAACCTGTTAGCTCAACATCCAAACATAAAAGCCCAGCTCCACCAATGTAACCAATTACTCCAATTCCTCCACCAGCAAACCAATACAAGTAGAATTCCTTAGTACGAGAGACTAAAATTTATTCTAAACACTAGAATTAAGATAGAAGTAAAAAACTATAAGAATTGAAAGTTACTTTCATTGTTACCAAATTAGTCATCTATGGCTTTGTGCAAAAACTTTCTCCTAAATTATTTCCACTGAGTCATATAAGGCTACTTAAAGTTTTACGATCATTGAGAAAATGTCACTATGCAAATGGAATGAAAACAGTATGTCACAGAACAATACAGGAACATGCCAACCTGCATGATTGGAGTGAGAAAAATTAAGTTTACATTTGAAAATCAGGAGAAAAAGGGCACTAAAAGAAAAAAATAAAACAAGATATTTGTGTCCTAGTGGAAATGATGATGACATGAACGAATATTGATGCACTTTGGGTGTCATTATGCATGCTACCATATGTTAGGGTGTATTTTAGAGACAAAAATGACTTCCCTGTAGTGAAGTAAAAAAGTTTCCCAAAGCATCTTCCATCAAAAACGTCATTCCATCTCTACCCATCTTTGGATTAAACAAGCACTTATTAATGACACCTAACAAACAGGCTTTCAGAGTTACACGAAGCTCTTCTACACAACAGTGTAGCTTGAATATCTTCTCATGCTATACTTGGAAAACATACTCGAATCTGTACCAAAAGAATGGGAATGAATGCTGTAACTGAGGCCCGTCCACCATGGAAGCCACATCCTCCACAGTACTTCTTTTTGAAATCAGACATCTTTTCTCAACTCCTGGTAAGTTACTGATTCTCTGATGGGAGAGCTGCAAAAGGCAGTGCTGGCTATTCAAGAAACAGTATTGCTCTTCAAAATAACCAGTAACTCAGCAGTAACTCAGTAACAGTATTTCTGCATAGAAGAGAATCAGAGCACTGGGAGTGGTTAATGCTGCTGAAAATGCTCAAATGAGGACTGTTAGGTAAGATGCAAATATTACTCCTTACTCAAACAGGACACATTTTTTGCAATGGTCTACCAGGCTACAGTAACTGTCAACTGTAATCATCCTTCTTTAATTCTTCATTGAAACTGAATGGCTTTATTTGCTCCCTCAAGCACGCCCTTATAGTATTTAATGCCATTTCTCCCTAGAAAAGTTTGCCACATAGATTTGTTTACGTAGCCAAGATGTTCTGGGAGATTTCAGACACAGTACCAATTAGTAATCTTTGCAAGGTTTTTTTCATTGTTGTTTTTGTTCTTGTTGTTTGTTTGGTTGGTTTTAATTATTTGCTGGTAACATCCTGAATATTTGTAACCAGAGACTAAACTGTCAACAGAGAAAAGGGCAACACAATTTAACACAGTAGCTGGGAGCTCCTTCTTCTGTGCCACCTAGGTGTTCATTACCAATTTCACAGGGGGGGAAAAAAAGGGAAAAAAAAAAAGTGGGAAGGGAAAGAGCTGACTACCCCTCATCAGCAGGAAAAATGCAAGAAGAAATACTGTGAACTGCACAAAGAGCTAAATCAGGACAATTCCCATCTAAAAGCAAGTAAGCACTCCACCTTCTTTTTAACAGTGCATCACAGACAAATTTTCTCTCTTGCCATACAGTAATTCTGCTTCCAATCTCCAAGTGCTTGACTGCTTACTATCTGCGATAAGTTATACCTACTACTTATCTACCTACTATAGACTGAGCTATACCTGCCTACTTATATTTTTCTAGAGGCAGCAAACCACTTGGAGCAACTTTCTTCTTTCCTTTCTGTGAACTCACAGAAGCCTCAATTTTTCTTCTCTGTCTGGAAATACAGCTAACCAAAAAGTGTGCATATCACAGAAGATCCACATGAACTTGGCTTTTTACCCCCCCCTTTTTTTTTAAACCTATCATTATGAGAAAAGTTTTACTTTGCAAAAGAGACTTAAATATAATGAATGTATAAACTGGTTGGGAACACCAGATGAATCAGCCAATGGTATTTTCCAAAATACCAAAACTTCTGCCCTCCAAGGCTGGCTGTTCTCCCATTTACTCAGTTGTTTTCATTAACACAAGCCAGAAGCATAATAGGGAAGATTACTGACAATGGACCTGTTCATTCACCAATATTTTTACTGGTATTTTCCTGGAACATTGTTCTCTCCTTAATAAATTAATATGTATGGATATATAAAAATAACAGTACATAACTAATCACATGATATATTGCTTCTTAACTATGGGCCTCCAACCCAAAGATGTGGTTACCTGACCTCCAGGTTGGTGGAAACATCTTAGAGGAGTCAGAAAAGATATGCATGCCCTGCCCCCCCACCCCTTCAACTGAATCTCCGCTCACACTAAAACCTCACTGAGAAGATCAGAACAGGCCACAGTCTCAGAAAAAGCTAGAGGAAGTAAAAAGGAATTGTTTTTATACCAGTAGATTTACTGATTTGAAACGATCATGTACAAACTTGCTACTTTTTACCCCTTTGTGTCAGTGTCTATAGAGAAGAGCTTCTAAGATAGTAAGGAGCTTGGAACATGTGGCATACGCAGTGAGAAGCTGAGAGAAGAGGATTTGTTGAGCCCCAAAGTGTGCATGGGGGGGAGGAGGTTCTAGAAGAAAACAGAGCCAGTTTGCAAGTGCATACTGGGGAGAAAAAGATGTTTCTTGATGTGTGTGTGTGTGTGCGCGCTGTTTCAATTCATGGGAAAGCATGCATATGTGTTAAAAACAAATAAATGCTGGAAGTCAGGAACACAGATCAAACTTGAACAAAAAATTTGGATTTCACTCGTGCTGCTTCTGCTTAGCACACAAAAAGAAAAGAAAGTGGTAACTAACTCCAATAGAGCCAGACAGTAGTAACACCATTTTAATAAAGTCAGGGTGAGAACTTTTGAAGGAATAATCCCCAGTTAACACCAGTTGGGTGTTCTAATACCACAAGTCTTAACTCTATACAGATCACCCCCAACTTCCCACTGATTAGTATTCCCACTAGAACTTCACCAAAATTCATTAAGGAAGGTACCTTGTTTGTGACATCACCTCCACGAACAATTTCAAGTTAAACAGTACCTGCTTGGCCCAGATCTAGCAACCTCAATGTAAGATTGTATAGTGCCCAACTTAAGGAGCAAATCATATGTTGCATACTCAGCATTTACACATGACCTTTTTTCCTCCCCTGTAATATTAGCTCTAGCTCCAGCTCCCAACGATTTCAAGACTCCAAGCGTCCACAAACTGTGGGATCTAGTAGCCTGATTACCATGACAACGTCAAAAACTATGTGCCAGCACTTCTCTGAGAAAGAGCTCTACAGTCGTATTGGGGATAAAGATGAAACAGTACACACTCTCATTGTTTTTGTTTGTTTTTGTTCCAAGATGGGCTTTTGGTGAATCCTCCTCCCCAGTCTCTAATGAGACTTGCTCCAGTTCAGTTGCAAAACAGTTCCCTTAAAGCTCAAGATAAGCACAAGACTGGGCTCTTCTAAGTCAGCCCATTGCTTAGAAAATAATATTAACTAACCTAAAAAAAAAAAAAAGAGAGAAAAGAAAAAAAAAAGTTGAAGGACGATGACAAATTACATTGAATTCTGCATGCTTCACAAGAATCACATTCTCCTTTGACCTAAGCAAACAACGTCTTAATTCCTTTAGGAGCTTTAGGCACATAGGCAGATTAAATATGTACTAATTGCAACAGTAACAGTATATTCGTCTGCTTTAAGAGATGGAGAACTTCTAGCTAATGTCCTTATTTTATGAGCCAAACGTGCACACATACCTTGTTTCCATAAAATTTGCCCTCTAACTTCAGAACAGCTGTTAATTTCTATCATCTATGCAGGAACGTGAAATAATGTACGTATTTTCTGCTGCCACAGTCTATTGCGGCATTATACACATTGTACCACCATATTGTTACATACAATTTTCTTTAGCAGCAGTTTTTCAGGGATGTTCACATTAGATACAAGTGCAATAAACAGTCCATTGATAATAACAATAAATCAATAATCACATGCAGCCTATTGACACTGATGACCACTGCCAGAAATTCTACTGTACAGTTTCAGTAGAGACATCAATGCAAAGATTTTCCCTTTTCTAAATAGGGAAGTTACTCATGTTTATCTACAGAACAATTAATGCTTTAGACAACAAGTGATCTCACAGAAAACAACAACAAAATAGAGAGCCAAGATACCTGCTCAGAGTCAGGCCTATTCTGTGCCCACAAGGTAATCACTATCAGATTTCTTACAGCACAGCCCAGTGCTCGATTTATTCATATTCATAAATTCACACAACGATTCAAGTTGGAAGGAACATTTGCATATGAGCCTGTATCCAGTGCAAACCCTCACTCACAGCAAAGCTCTAATGATACTTTTGCTCAGATACTTCTCCAGTCAACTCCTGAACACTTCCAAAGATGCAGATTCCATCACCTCTCTGGGCAACTTATTCCAGTATTTCGGTACACACAGGGTAAAAACAACCACCACAAATGTATTTGGTTTATGTAGCAAGGTTTTGGTAGTTCAGGGCTGCAGGGGTGGCCTCTGTGAGGGCATTTACAAACGACCCTTTTTTTCTCCCCTGTAATATTAGCTATTTTCTACAATATTAGCTATTAGCTATTTTTCAACAATATTTTCACCAAGCCACTTTCAATAATTTGCCATCAGTCCTGGCTAACTGGGGAGGTCCCAGTTGACTGGAGGTTAGTGAATGTGACACCACTGTACAAGAAGAGTAGAAAGGAGGATTTAGGGAACCATGGGCTTGTCAGTCTGACCTCAGTACCAGGGAAGCTTATCGATCAGCTTGAACGTCATCACGCAATACATACAGGAGTTCAATTAATCAGATGCAGCCAGCATGGATTTACGATGGGTTAGTTCTTCCTGACCAACTTCACCTCCTTCTATGACAAGATGACTCAGTTAGTAAATGAGGGAAAGACTGTAAATTTTGTCTACCTGTATTGCAGTAAAACATTTGACACTGTTTCTCACAGTATTCTACTGGAGAAACTCGCTGCTCATGGCTTGAACAGGTGTCCAGATCACTTACTGAAAAACTGGCAGGATGACTGGATTTGAAGTATCATAGTGGATGGAGTTGCTTATTGAGAATAAAGGTATGTCCACATTAAGAGAAGGTTCAGCATTGAAGAAACTTCCAGGGTGAGATGTGGCATATATGCAAGGAATCTGTTCCATGTTAGTCCCCTTGGCAACATAGCCTGCAACCTTAGACGACACCAGGGGAGCTTGGTGAGCTGACTCTTAGAGAAATAGCATGGAGCGTTGGGATGGAGTGGAGACACCATGGCCAGACTCTGCAATATCACCGCAGAGGGAGGTAACTGGTAACTACAGAACTGATAGACTTCACAGCCAGCCCTGGATCAAACCAATAAACAAATTATGTCCTCTGAGTGAACTTTGCTCGTTATAATCTCATTATAACACCAAAACACACCTCCATCCCAAGGGCTACCCATCTCCAAAGTGCAACCACTCCTCACTGAGTATGCACTCTGAATTTCTCTGAGCTTATACCTTTAAAGTAAATAAAAGAAAATTTTATACCAATCATAACAAAGATACATGTATGTATGACTAGTCACTCAAGCTCCATCTAAAAATAAGAAAATAGTATAAAAACGGCTCAAGAGACGAAAAATGTTAGGGAAGACACCATTGCTGACAAGTCAGGAGGACATCACTGACTTCTGGGATCAGCTGACAGACTGAGCCTCTCTTTCCCCCCCATAGGGAGAACTATTGAGTGAGATTTGAACTCTTGGTTATACTGAGTGCTTCCCCAGAAAACCTAACATTCTCTATAGAGTTGTTTCATAAATTAACTTATATGTAGTTAGTTGTATTAGTCATATTCTTGGTATTTGCACACGCTTTTCAGACTGTATTTATCACCAGCAGTCTAAAAGAACCTGTATTGCTGTTGCTTCAAAACGCTACACCAGTCATTAATCTACTAGACTGAAGGTATATTGCACTATTTGTGCATTTGTGATTTTGGTAATTCAGTATATTGAATGTTACCAGACTCTAGTGCTGAATTGGGCATCACCCAGAATCTAAGCCCAGCTGCCTTCAGCCCCTCTGATATCTGAGGACAAGCTGGCACGCAAGGTGTTTAGATCCTGCCAAACTTCTTTAGCCTTTAATGCAACAGTGTCCAAGAAGGCCAATGGCATCCTGACCTCCATCAGAAATAGTGTGGCCAATTATACTAGCGAAGCAGTTGTTCCTTTCTATGTGGCACTGGTGTGACCACACCTAGAGTACTGAGTTCAGTTTTGGGCCCCTCCCTACAGGGTTACTAAGTTGCTCAAGAGTGTGCAGAGAAGAGCAATGAAATTGGTGAAGGGACTAGAAAACATGATGTCATTGCTGTCTACTACTCCTTAAAAGGAGGTTGCTGCGAGGATGGTTCGGTCCCTTCTCTCAAGTGACAGGTGATAGGACATGAGCAAATGGTCTCAAGTTGTGCCAGGGGAGGTTTAAATAAATAGGGAGAATTTCTTCATGGAGAGGGTGGTCAAGCATTGGAATGGGTTGCTCAGGTAAGGACTGGAGGTATTTGTGGACATGGACACACCTGGACATGCAGACATGGCACTAAGGGACATGGTTTAGTTATAGGATTCACTAGATCAGTTTGACAGCTGGACTTGAAGGTCTTTTTCAACCTAAAAGATTCCATGAGTTTATATTCCCACTCTATTACTCTCCCTGTGCTGCAGTCACATTCATATACATTTGCAGCACCTACACAATACTTCCATGCAGCTGCAAAGCTCTCAACACCCTGCCTTTCACACATATGGAGACTTTCCCCATTAGCAGCTGTTGATCAGTTCAGTACCTGTGTGCTGAAATACCAAAAATATATAGGAATCAGAAGCGAGGCCTAAAAGAATATGCATAATTCCAAGGGAGAAACCCTGGACAGATGGACAGGACAAAAAGAAAGGCTCATCATTTTAAGCCTGTAATAAAACTACCACTTCTTTCAAATGAAAGCACAAGAGTCAGTAGAATGAAATCTTGTACAAATCTATCAAACTATACAACTCAAAAGAGATTTATCCACTTGAATTTTCCACTGTTCATTTGTACAAGACCAATTTCTGGAAAGATTAGTTTTCTGGAAATTAGATTTTCATTCACAGCTCTACAGAGTAAACTCAGGGAGACCGCAAACTTTAAGCAGAGGAACTAAATTGACAAGAGTATTTAAGTTCATGCTGAATGCTCCAGTAACTACTGAACTACATGGTAAAAACTTGTCCGAGCTGCCCATTTGAAAAGGACGACCAAACCTAAATACACTAGGCATTATAACTTCTTTTTCATATATAAACTTTAATAATACCCTGCCAACATTAAAAAAACAAACAAAACAACACAAAATCAATAACCAAACCAAGGACAAAACAAACATTATAGTTCTGACAGACTTGGAAAAAACAGAAACCAAAGATCAGACTACTTGATAATTATTTCCAGATTTCTTGTATTCACATAGTAGATTTTAAGATTTCTTTACTTCAGTCTTTGTGGTATTTCACACATCACCTTAGAACTGTTTGATGAAGTTCTAAATTCACTATTTTTTGTTTGAGTATACTGCTCTTAATAAACATTTCTGTATTTCAGTCACACACTATCTTGTTCATTTTTTCTGACCACCCTGCTAGGTGGTACTACAATTCCCAAGAGAAGCAATGACACTGCCACCCAAGCATACACAGTAGTGCAATATTCAGGTGTTGCATAATCTTTCATTTAGCACCGTTGTTGCCTCCAGCCCCGGAAGCATACTACTTGGATTTGTGGATTGTAGAAGGAAGCAGATGAATATAACAACACTGGGATAGAACAAAAGACAGCTAGAACAATCCATCCTTTAAATCTACCAGTAACATACCGTTACTCCAGATATAACTGGGGCTTTTCCTTCAATTAGTTTATATATTTCTTGAACTGCTTCTTCATCACTCTTGTCTTTAAATCGTTTCTTGGAGAGTTCCTGAAGAGCTTCTTTAAACTGGTCAAAAGTAATAGTTCTAGAAGACTTTCCCCTGTCAAAACACACAGAAATTGAAAGAAATTACAAGAGAGCACAACAAGCATTCCAAGAATAGCAGAAAGTTTTTAGTTTGCCACAGTGAACAACAGAAAACCATAACAGGAAAGAAAGCCATTCACCCGATGAAAACATTTCCCAGCCCATTAAAACATCAATTTCTTAAGAAACTTTCCTGGATGAAGGTTAAGAAATAAAGAGGAACTAGTGGAAACTGTCCTGCTATCAAAACATCTTTAGGTCTGTGCAAGATATAGTCTCACGTGGTTGATCACCCATAAAGCCTGCATCCATAAAACACAGGAGTAGAAGAGCCTTGGTGTTTTGTTATTTTTTATTCCTCTTCGAATAACTGGTTATGACATGCTATTCATAGGTCAGTATTTACTTATGTTTACTTCGAGTGGTAAAGATTTTTGCTAACACACCTTTTCTTTACAGTGTTGTTGATCTTTAGAACAGGAATTTACACACTAAAATGTGGGCATAAGTTTAAAACTAAAATTCAATAGAAAACCTTCCAAAAAGATGCTCTGACATTAAACATAGTACTAATTAGGGTTGCACCAGAGTAATAGAAGATGGTTTTGATTGTTTCCATTAGGAAAACCTCAAACTAAAAACAAATAAATTAATTAATAAAATAAACAAACATTTGAGCCCTGTTGTTTGCTGAGAAGCATGCTACTACATTAGTTCTGTTTGCAGCCTAAGCATTTCTTCTTATTTAAATAGTGTCTCTAGTAAATCAGAAAAAAAAAAAAAAAAAAAAAAAAGACCAGTCCTTTTGACAGTGACAGTTGTTTACAGAGGAAAAAAAATGATAGATCCAAGCACAGAGACATTAAGACAACAGAGACTTCTGACTAGAAAAAAAAAGTTACACATAGAAATTGAATTTGACTTCAGGTACCTCAGAAAGCCACTGCTAAGTGTAAGTTATCTGTCTTTGATCTCATCTTAGACATGTTCAGAAGTCAAATCACACTCAAATTTTAAAGTGCCTCCACTAACAAAAGGAGGATGCAAGATCTCTCTGTTTTAGGCACCAACAGTTAGGAAGTGAATCCTATGTCAATTGACTAAATGTGAAACGAAGTTGCATCTTAATGTTTTAAAACAAGTAGAAATTGGTTATTCACAACAAAATGTCAACACAAACACAACCCTCTACATACCAGTTCATTACTAGCATACTCTGTCTCCACCACGGTCCAACATGTAGGAAATCCTTACATCCATCGCTCTCCCAATTTTAACCAAAAATAAACTTTTTATTTTGACCAAATTTTGCTGTCTGTGACTACTTGTCACTTTTAGGTGAAGCATATGTGGGAGTTTGTTATGGAATTAGCTAGTAGAAAAACACGGTGACAATGGAAGTGAAGAATATAATCCAACTTTTCATTAAACAGAAAAACACATCACACATACTGCAATTAACTACTTGGAAGTTGTCCAGGACTCTCATTAGTAGGATTAACATCCCTCTTCTGATAAAACATGTCCAAGGATTTTTAACTAGCTCAAGAGGTCAAGACTGCATTTTGATTTGCCTCTCATTTAAAAAAACATTGCACTGACAATCATCATAAAGATTCAGCCCAAGACCACAATAAGGCCCTTGTTCAGTATAGACTCACAGTCAAATCTAACATACAGACCTTTCAAATGGGTTTTTCTGAAGCATAGTGGTTACCTGGTAGTCTCCAATCAGGACTGCTACAGTTTAACTTGGATCATCATTCAGGACCACAATGGGAAAAGCCTTACCAATTCCAGCAGAAACTTTTGTAGTTAACAATGACTCCTTACCAAAAGCATTATATGCAAGTGTACTGTTTTCATTGTTGTCACTGTTGTCATGTTTGTTTTTCTGTCCCTCCCTCACACTACCAGCTCTTTTATTAACCCATTTAAAACATTTGGGTTTGCGTTTGCACTTATAAGATAGAATATAGACATTTATTTTCGGATGAGGAGTTCTACAGGCAGCTGACAGAAGCTGCAAAAACATCAGCGCTTGTTCTCGTGGGGGGCCTTCAACTTCCCAGACATATCCTGGAAGCACAACACAGCCCAGAGAAAGCAGTCTAGGAGGTTTCTGGAGAGTGTGGAAGATAGCTTCCTCACGTAGCTGGTTAGTGAGCCTACCAGGGGAGGTGCCCCACTAGACCTTCTCTTCACAAACAGAGAAGGACTGGTGGGAGATGTGGTGGTTGGGATCTGTCTTGGGCAGAGTGACCACAAAATGGTAGAGTTCTCTATTTTTGGCGAAGCCAGGAAGGGGACCAGTAAAACTGCTGTATTGAACTTCCGGAGGGCTGACTTTGAGCTGTTCAGGACACTGGTTGGTAGAGTCCCTTGGGAGGCAGTTTGGAAGGGCAGAGGAGTCCGGGAAGGCTGGGACTCTTCAAGAAGGAAATCTTAATGGCACAGGAGCGGTCTGTCCCCATGTGCCCAAAGACAAGCCAGCGTGGAAGAAGACCGGCCTGGCTGAACAAAGAATTGAGCTTGAGCTTAGGAGAAAAAAAGAGGGTTTATGATCTTTGGAAAAGAGGGTGGGCCACTCAGGAGGACTATAAGGATGTTGTGAGGCTGTGCAGAGACAAAATTAGAAAGGCCAAAGCTCATCTGGAGCTCTCTATAGGTACATTAAGGGAGGCTGTAGTGAGGTGGGGATTGGTCTATTCTCCCATGTGCCTGGTGATAGGACAAAGGGGAATGGGCTGAAGTTGGGCCAGGGGTGTATTAGGTTGGATATTAGGAAGAACTTCTTTACTGAAAGGGTTGTGAGGCATTGGAATAGGCTGCCAAGGGAAGTGGTTGAGTCACCATCCCTGGAGGTCTTTAAAAGACGTTTAGATGTTGAACTTCGGTATATGGTTTAGTGGAGGACTTGTTAGTGTTAGGTCAGAGGCTGGACTTGATGATCTTGAGGTCTCTTCCAACCTAGACAATTCTGTGATTCTGTGATTATCTTTCCCACCTCTGCCCTCCCCACATGAGACATGGCTATTCCTGCCTCTCACATTTGTTCTTTTCCTTGTCACAACAATGTGGGGAAAGGGGATGAGTTTTTCTCCCTCCAATTTAAGGTATAAACACAAATTTGATACATATGTAAGCAATGCTCTATTGCTGGTAGACACAAGAGAAAAAGAAATGTGCACCATGGCAGCTATTCTTCACCAGCAAAAATGGTAATTAGAGTAAAACTAAAAGTACGATTGCCATTACATGATTTTTTGAGCTATATCCCGCATAAAAGTACCTGAAATTAAACAGGAATGGGGGTGGGAGGAATGGAAAACAGTAACAATAGAGGGAATGCGGAAAAAGAAGGCTTTTATTAAGACACATGTCATAAGGGTGGCTACCTCAATGAAAAGAGAAAAATATGTATGAGAAGCATTAATAATATATTTTAAAGCCCCATGCTTTATTATAACTTTTATGGTTAAGAAACCTTTAGGAACTATACGGCCTTACATTTGTTTTAAGCCATGTTTATCACAACAAACATAATTACTCAAATGCATCATCCTCAGTGGAAGAAACTGAAGTGGTACACATGAAATTTTGCTTCTATCTATCTCTACCTTTGGGAACAGATTGATGATACTCAGAAAAATATTTGGAAGCTTCCCATCACTTCTCCTTCCTTGATGGGTCACTTCACATGTGACCACTACAAAGCGGGAAGATTCTGAACTCAAGCTTTCATTCCTCAGTTTGCTCTTTGGAACCCAGGTTCACATATGTGAAAGCATCATCAGTTCTGTACCTGAACATCAGCATAATGAATATAAAAAGTATAAAAGAACAAGTTCTAGCCTAAAGCAAATTGTAATAGCAAGTAATAAAGTATTCATTTGCAAGTAGTACCATTAACATTGTCTTGTGATCACAAGATTAGAACAGTGCAATGTGAAAACTTAATGCTGCAAATGAGTACTTCTATATTATTTGGACTTGTATACTATTTGGACTAACAATTTTCTATAAATTTAGCTAAAAAAAATAGACAAATACACTCCACATAATGTATACACAACATTCTTGAACAATATTAGAAATCTTTTTCTCCATAGCACTGTTAACACAGTTGTGTTAACACAGCATAGCCTCCGACGTAATCGTTTTCTGTCTTAATCTCTGAGTTACCCAAAATCATCCTGTTCCAATGGTCACATTTCTTTTCAATTTTTTTAGATTGAAGAGGTGAAAGGTAATGTAAAAACAGTCAGAGAAGCTTCTATTCTTGCTAGCATTCCAGGAGGGATTACATCCGTATAAACTAACCAAGACTGTTTTGCAGTGGAAGTTGTGATCTTACCAAAAGTTTTGATCTGGCAACATAACTAGAGGTTGGAGCCCAACAAACGGTTTTGCTTAAACTCTTGTCTGATAAATTTTGTTTGTAAGGTTTATTTGCTCTAAATTCCCATGGACTTGGGTGTCTCAGTCAACCTAGATGTCACTTAAAACTTGACCACATTCTCTCTTGTATATCAGAACAACCTCAATTTTGAATACTCCCTATATTTACTTTCCTCCAAAAAATTTTCACACATTCAGAAGACAAAAATGAAGGATTGATCTGGTAACAGAATGCCTGAGTGGCTTATCTGCCATGGTTTTTGACTTACTGGCACAGTACAGTTACTCAGGCAACTTCTGTTTTGCCACTCCTGCTCTCACACCCATGTAAGAGTCAAGTAAAGTTCTGACTTCAAACTTTGTCTGTTTCTGCTCTATATTAAACACAAAAAATAATATAAATTTTGAAGTGAGAAACGTGTGGCTGTTTAACAAACAATACCATAATGAGAGAGCAAGAGAAAGAGTGAGAGAGAGAGATGTTTCTTCTAAAACATTTATTTCTTTTAACATTAAAAAAACACACACGGATTTTTTTTTAAGTAGCAGTCTGCTACACTGTAAACTCACTACAGCTAAAGCTCCTTAATTTTCATTTATCAATAGAATTTT